GATGCCACAGGTTATGTGTGTCTTCTTATCCAACCAACTACAAAAGATGATGCTGGCTGGTACACTGTGTCAGCAAAAAATGAGGCTGGAATTGTTTCCTCTACCTGCAGACTTGATATATATGGTAAATATTCTGCATAGCCTGATACAGAAATGTGCCTCATTGTTAGTACTTTGCTCTGGGTAGTAATACTAGCTGTCTGCTGCTACTTCAGCGCAGTGGCATCAGAGCATCCCAGCACCCATGAAGACAACTCAGCGCACTGGCAGTCGCTATGCCGCTCTGACCGTCCAGGGGCTGGACATCAAGTCAGCTTTCCCCACGTCAGAGACGAGCCCCATCCTGTTCTCCAGCTCCCCACCTGAAGCCATGCTGGAGAGTGAGGAGCTGTGAGTTGCTGTCTCCCAGCAGGATGCAGTGCCTCCCTGAGGTTAAAAACCAGTACGGCACGTAGGGCAGAGAATGTCTTTTTCTAAGCAGATTGTCATGTGTTGATTTGGATGAAAGGATACATTCAGAGTAGGTGAGTGGCAGAAAGTAATTGCATTAAAGCTATCAGCAGTGATAGCAGGTTTGTCACCATTCCTGTTTGCTAGAGTCACTTGCGGAAAAAAAATGCAGATTTTTAAAGTCTTAGCTCATGAGCCAGGGGTGGAGTTGAGTTTTGTTCTGACAGATTTGAATGATATATCGTTATTTTCTACGTTGTATTTAATCAACTACAGTGGTGAGGTTGTTCATGAATGATGCTGATCTTTTTTTTCTGAATAGTAAGTATTTCTCTCTGTGTGGTAAAATAACCACAATAATATACAGATACAGTGGCTTCAGCACATGGAATTCTGAAATGATCTTCTTTTGATAAATTAGCCATCAAGAAAACACAAAATAAATCTTCAAAATATTCAGAACAAATCCAGGTTTTAAATTATGATGATATGATTTTTTTTAATATTATATATATATATATATATAAAATATGTACAGTACATTGATTCCTTTGGGTTTACGGCTTTGGGAGGGCTTGGGGGTGCAGACATTGTGGCTGGTTGGCTCAGTGGACAGTAGACAACTGTGAAAGTGTGGGCCTGTGTTTAATCCCCAAACTGGGCACAGGTGAAAGATGTGAGGGCATATCATTAAGGGGGTTCTTTAGCTCCTCCCCCCTACCATAATTTTAAAGTCTGAATTACTGGCTAGCCTATAAGAAAAGAAAAAGAAATTGGTACCACTGGTACTTAACATATGAGTACTAATACTAATACCAGTGGTACCAATATTATTACAGGTACTTCAGCTAGTAAAAGTTACTAACTTTTCTTAAAGAGCGTACTAGCAAAACTAGCAATACTGGTACCACATATAAAAATAATATGTCACAGTTGTCTTGGAAAGCAGGGCAATTAAACCTGGGTCTCCTGCACCACCGTCAGAGAACTTACCCCTGGACAAAGGGCCACTGTGGCTGCAGGTCTTTCTTCCAACCTATCCAGAACACACTGACTGACCAATCAACTGTCTGAAGACTCATAGCAGTTGATTAATTAAGGCAAGTCAGGTGTACTGCTACTTGGTTGGAACAAAAACCTGCATCCACAGCTGCCCTTTGTGGACCTAGTTGCCCACCCCTGCCCTAGATTATACTGCCCTGGACAACATGCTCCATGTTCTTCACAAGAAAAGAAAATATCTTACAAACTGTCACAATTGAGCAGACGTGTTCTATAGGAGAAGTGACCTGAAATGACTTTAGTTGTTATATGTCACCAGCACACTGCACAGATAGACCATATGAAAACAACCATCTGATTTCCCTGTGTTAAGGACAGAAAACCACTGCCTAAGTGGAACAGATTATCACAGCCTCCACTTGCCAGCCACAAACATCTGCAAAACCAAATGGAGCCACTGCATCTGTGTTAGGATCTACAGTTTCTACATGTTTATATTTGGGAGGTTATTGTTGATAGTTAGAAGAATAGAAACAGAATATTAAAACATGTGAATGTGGTATTTATATCAGCAGATTTCCCAGCCCGAAATAATTCTTTCTACACTGAACCAAATGACTTCTTTTTGTCCATCACCTGTCCACAGAGTGCATGTACGCCAAATGGAATATTGTATGATATTGAACGACTATCTCCAAGCCATGGTTAAAGTATTGATTTCATTTGTAGTGAAAACCACTGAAACACTTTAGTTTTATATGCTACCACGTGTTGTCATTCATTTTGTTTAGGACTCATCTACTATGAAAAGTCTTTCAAATAAGTTGAATTCAGATGGAAAATCTGGTAGCGTCGCTTCTGCAGATGACACATAAACACCAGAAGCATCCGGCAGAGGATTTTACTATGATTTGAATCAGTGGGAAAACATACTGGGGTTTGAGAGCACATTCAACACATGGAAAGTTGCACATTGTAAAATAGCTATGTCCTAATATAATAAAGTTATATTTATTCACATGATGTGTGATGTTTCTTTTTTGAAGCAGGCTGCACATACAAAAACTAAAGTTAATCGTACTGCTGCTACAGTGGAAATACTAGTTGATGTCACAATAATTTGAGTTTTGAAAAATGACTGAAGGTTAGTATTTAACTACTGAAATGACTAACCTTTTAAAGAGCCAAACGTCTGTCATCATAGAGCGATTGTTTTGGTCAATCACAGCACTATTAGCTTAAACTGATGCCCAGTACAAAACAGTGTAGTTGCTCGGCAGCCAATTAAGCATGGCTAATCAGTCTAATTAGAGG